GGCGACGTGCTGATATATATTTGCACACTCTTTTGGCACCCATTTCTTGGGAGGATGATCGAGCGGGCGGCCGGATCCGCAGCAGAGTCACATGACAAACGCGTGAATTAACCTGCTCAATTCTCTCGGTGACAAGCGAAACGTGTGAATAAGCGAGTCGCACGACTAATCTAAGATCGCAGATAAACGACGGGCCCAGCAAATTGGGTAGCTTAGCCCACACACACCCACTTGGTATGGTCGAGCGGTAATTGATGGATCGCATGGGTGGTCGCCCGAAAAGCGTGGGATGTGTGTTCTAAATACAGCACGAAAAGCTTCTAATTTTAAAAGGGGAAGACAACAGGGAAGGAAGACAGAGTGTGCCTATTCCTGGTGCCGCTCGAGCACTTGTATAATTGATGGTACCTATTCTAGGAGGCCCCATTATCAACGGCACTCGATGCGATAAACCCGGCTATGGCCGGCAATTGGCATTAATAAAAGTGTTCGGCAGTTTCCGCCGCAAAGCAGACAAAACCCGGGACGCGGGACACCCACCACCACCGAAGGGCGGGAAAACCACCGGCGATAAGCCACTACTACTGACTGCTGCAGCTCGAACAAAGGTGAAACAGTTTCCCGACTCGCAATTTCCAGTGCGAGGGGTTCTGCGGGGGCAATCGTAAATAACATAGATTAGTCCGCATGTCTAGACTAAAAATACAGATCGTTGGGCTTAATCCTACATATATTCACCCATGAAGTTCAGCTTGTCGATCACGGCGGCCGCCGATCCTGCAGCGAGATTACAAAAGTCCGGATCATCCACATCGAAGATGATGTTATCCTCCCATTCGGTGACAATGTGCGAAGCGGCTGCAGCGGCGGCGGAGGAGAGTGCCTGCTGTTGCTGCTGGGCCAGGGAGCTGTGTCCGCCGCCGGAGAGGATGTTACTGCTGTTATGGTTGATATTGCCGCTGCAGATGTTCTTGTTGTCCGTTTTCATCTGGAAGAGCAGAGTCGCAATTAGAGAGAGGTGGTGACCAAGCATACGGGGCGCGTACGTGCTGATATGCAAATAGCAAAATAGCAAACCTCACACGTGGCTATGGCTCCAAATGCAGCTTTAAATGTGTTTTTGGTTAATGGAAAGGTGGTGATAAAGAGAGGTGGGAGCAGCCCAGCTGTTGCCGCTCAAACACACACACACACACACTAGCACTTGCTCACATCCTCTCATGGCCTCTTGCAACACCTTGTGTGTGCAAAACTATGCAAAATCAATAGATGCAAGATGCATTTTATTTAGGTGAAGGCTGTCCGTGTGTCTGCGAGTGTGTGTTTGTGTGAGCAATTGCATTTCGCTTAACTAAAACCCCGACGTTGTTGTTGTTTTGCCTTTGCAAATTTTGTTTGGCCCTGGGTGCAAGTGTATTTGTGGCGTTTTCCATTAGAATGCAACTCAACCAGCTCTTCCACTCACCTTTATTTAGGCCAGCACACTCGGGGGCAGCTCGCACAAAGTTCAATTGCCAAAAGTTTTGAGCGCCAACAGCTAGATTTAAGGTTAATTTCCTTATTTAAAAAAAAAAAAAAAACTTTGCGTGCGCTAAATAGCTGGCAACTAGGGGTGGCACCTTGTCGATAACGACAGTTATCGATATACATGGGCGGGCAATTCGAAGTTCTTATAATTATAATAAGGGCAGATAGATTTTATTGTTTTTAAAAGGAAGTGATAAGATTTAAGAGATTCTATTAGCAACAAAAATGATTAATTATTAGCAACGTTTTCCAAGATTGGTGATTAAAATTTCATTCAATTTATGGTATTTAGTATTTGAAACTTTTTAAGGGTGGTATTTTTTAGTATAACCATTTCGAAAAGATGGATGGTATATTTTATTGACCTCAGTTTAACGGTCACACTATTCACACGAAATTTTCGATCAAAATAAATTTGGAATATAAAAATAATTCGCTAATTTGAAATATATAATAAAATGCACCAGCATTCTGGCCACCTCAAGCTGAAGAGTGCGCATTAAGAAGGTCTTTTTGGAAACGGCAAGCACTGCACAGACATTTGCCAGGCGACGACCACACCAGAAATTAGCAGTGGAAGTGGAATGGAGGAGAATATGTGGTAAATAATAAACATTAGGGAAACGTCAACAATTCGGGCTACCCCTGCCCACACGAAGCCAGTGTCTCCAGCGGCCTCCTGCGTTGGGGCAAGGAGCTGCGATACCCCAAGGTTGCTCCAAGCGACTGAGTCAGCATCTCGGTGCTGGGTCGGCGGGGGTGGAGACACCTGGGGGGGCTGGGCCTTATCAGCAGTGCTCGTCACTAACAGCAGCTGTTTATTGAGACACGTTGACGACGACCCAATCACCTAGATGATTAAAAACAAGCCACTGATAGCAGCAATAATAATATCTTATTCGCAGGATAATTGAGCTGGAGTCGGCGCTGCTGGACGACTGCAATGTAAACGACATCTACGGCATTTGTAAGGGCAAGGCTCTGCCGGAGGCCCTGCGGCCGGACGTGTGGCAGGTGTGCCTGGATGTGCGGCACAAATCTGACCAGATGTCACTCTTCAACGAGATCTACGACCTGCCCTTCCAGAGTCAGCTGCGGGAGGATTGCCAGCGGCACGTCGATCGCATGGGCAACGACGAAGAGGACAAGGTGTCGGTTGTGTCCGATTTAGAGTCCATCATCACGTTCTATTGCAAGAACCGGAATCTACAGTACGAGCCGGATAACGGCTGGATCGAGCTGCTGCTCCCGCTGTTCGCCCTGAAGCTCAACCGCTCCGACACCTTTAACCTGTTCGAGGCGATACGGGACACCTACATACCCAAGGGCTGTCGGCCGAAGGGCAACGTCTTCCACGTGTTCCGACTACTGCTGCTGTACCACGACCCAGAGCTCTGCACCCTGCTGGATACCAAGAAGATCACGCCCGACCTGTACTCGCTGCCCTGGTTCCAGTCTCTGTTCACCTCCTGCAGCAGCCTGTCGGTGATCATTGCCATGTGGGACTTGTACTTCCAGAACGCCGACCCATTCATGGTCTTTTTTCTGGCTCTGATCATCCTGATTAACGGCAGAGAGCAAATCCTGCAGATGCGCGCCGAGTCCAAGGAGGAGATCATCAAGTTCCTCGGCAATATGCCGTGTGCGCTGGAGGTGGACGACGTTCCCGACTTTTGCTCCCTGGCCCAGTACTATGCGCTCAAGACGCCAACTTCCTTCAAGACGGACTATCTCAAGGCGCTGTATGGCAAGCAGAACGACACGCCGCGCAGCCAGGATGAAGCCAACAAGGTGTCGCAGGCCCTGTGCCTACCCGTCTCCGTCTACGAGTTGGTGGAGAACTCGGCAACAGAGTTTCCGGTGCCGGACGCAGTGCGGTTCTTTCTCGTCGACTGCCGTCCTGCGGAGCAGTACAACGCCGGCCATCTGTCCACGGCATTCCATCTGGACTGCAATTTGATGCTCCAGGAACCGGTCGCCTTCGCCACCGCCGTCCAGGGCCTGCTTACAGCCCAGCGCCAGGCCATTGAGGCCAACTCCAATGCCGGCGGCGAACACCTATGCTTCATGGGCAGCGGTCGGGTGGAGGAGGATCAGTACACGCACATGGTGGTGGCCTCATTCCTGCAGAAGAACACCCACTATGTGTCCCTGCTGACCGGCGGCTACGCATCCATCCACGATTACTTCGGCGACCACATGGCTGACTGTCTGGAGGACCACAATGCGCGCAAGTGCCTCGTCTGCCAGCAGCACAATGTCCAGCAGGTAAGGCTAAGACCGATATCAGACTACCTCTACAACCTGTAATACTCTGCATTCCACTCCTTCAGTCCAAGTCCGCGACTACTAAAGTCTTGGCCGGACCCTCGTCCACGGATCTATTCAGCAAGTTCTCTGCCGCGATGAAGTCCAAGTCGGCCGAGGTTAAGGGTAAGCTTTTGGATATCATCGTAAATCCCAGTGCGAACGGCGGTGCCTCTGCCAGCGGCTCCAATTCCAATAGCAATGGGATTCAGGCGGCTCCGACCCAGGAACGTCATGTGAGTGCCAATGAACGGAATGGAAAGCGATACCGCAACGTGGCGCCCGTCTTTAGCATCGATGACGAAAACGAGGATGCCCTTGATGGTGGGGCGGGAGGGGAAAGGGATGCTCCAACGCTGGCCGGCGATGGCAAGGAGATCGTGAATCTGAACCAGTACTTTAAGACGGCGGACATCATCAATGCGTTCAAGTGCCAGGAAGTGCATATGAGCGGCTATATGTACGATAGCCACCTAATCATCACACCCGGCCAGCTGGTGGTGCTGCGGGAGCTGGGACGCGGCCAGGCGCAAATTATGGTGCGCCGCCCGCTGGCCAGCATCGTAAAAATCACCGCCAAGAAGCGGCATCGCGACCTGATCACCTTTAAGTACGGCTTTCCAGACGGCGACGGCCTGCTCATCACGGACATGGACCGCTTCCTCATCCCTAATGCCGCCAAGGCAACGGCCATGGTGTCCGAACACATAATGCAGCTGCTGGAAAACGCCAAGTAGAGAAGTAGAGTATCCCCGCTATGCTTTTCTCCGCCCTGCCCCCCTCTCCCCCAAATGCCTAAAGCCTTATTTTTCATACAAAATCAGACATGGACAGAAAAACGGAGACACAAAGTGCAATGCGCAGGCGAGAGCGCTGCAACTAGTTTTTAATTGACTATGTTTTCCTTGTTGTAATAGCGACAAATAGTAGTTGTAATAGTGAATCGAGGATTCGATGCAAATGTAACATAGAGCACTCGGACGGATCCCAGACGGTGACAACGCCAGCCCAGATGTTTTCTAAATTCCCAGGTGCAAAGATAAGGGAGACTCCCCCAAGTGAAGCCTTGAGACTTACAACGTGTACATGAAGAGTAACTAACTAATATTTATTGCAATTTAAAACCAAACAAATAAATCTGTATTATAATCGACACAAAACTAGCTCTATTCTTCAGTTGTAGTGGGCTTGCCCGATCGAAAGTGTACACGTAGCCGTTGGTATGCGTCGTTCAGGTTCACAGCATTTCGAGGCCGCGGGCGAAGGTGGCAATAGAGCAGGGCCATAAGAAGGAGAATTGTAAGCAGAACACCAGTACAGATCACATATGGATGCACAATGGTTCCCGGATGTATGTGCTCCTCCTTCAGTTTTGTTATAGAGTCCCGAATAACTTGGTCCACATGCGACTGGAGGGGATCGACTGTCGTGGCAGTTTCGGTCTTAGTCTGCAGATATGCGTATGCTAGTTCGGAATCTCTCCACTCCCCTCGCTGTCCTCGAAGCACCACAGATGTCCCTAATAGGACGTTGCAGTCACCTCGAATCCTTAGGATACCGCTACCGTTTATCTTAAGTTCTTGCTCATAACCATCAGCAGAGCAGAGCACAAACAAAGACTCCGGTTTTGCAACAGTCGCCATGCAGGAATTTGGTGCGAGAAGTTGTCCAGAGAGATTGTCGCACAACAAGATGGGAAGTACAGGCCACGGAGGACTGATTTAGGATAGCAGCCATACCACAGGGAAGATCTTCAGTGTGCTTAATTGTAGAGACTTTAGCTGGTTTGCAAATAAATCTAGTCTCTTCCAGCTTTAAGCAGTTTTCCAAGTCGTGGAGCTCGAAATATCTGTCTGTCCCATTATCGACAGCGACGTACGGGGTTTTGGTATCTAAAATTTCGATTGTGCCGTTTCCATGCACTTTTGGAATGGGTGTTAAACGGTAAATGCTAAGCTGATCGTTATCGATCTTTGGAATTTTATATTCGAAGGCGAGGGTATTATTATCCAGTTTCCCAATCTTTACTGCGGAGCCCTTAAGGAAATCAGATATTGTAATGTTAAAATCTTCCTTCATCTTGTTCCGAAGTATTTTATTCAATGTACATGTAACATTAAATTGGGCGCAGTGAATTTGTTTGAGAAGATTATCTGCCTGTTTCTCCAATTCAGAATCTAGATTTCTGAGTTTCTCAGTCATTACTTTTATGTTTGTAGGAGAAACATTGTAGCTTTCCGCAAACTGTTTTATCTGACTTCCAAGCTGGTCATCGGTGTACTTCACAGTTTTTGAATACCTTATTGAACTTTTAATAAAAGATTATCATGAGTAAACATAAACAATTGAAAAGCTAAATAAGAACTTACTTAGGTGTTTGCTTAATCGAACTTAATTGCTGAAAGGTGTCGAATAACCTATTCAAATTCGGTTGTTTGGGAATTTCTCGCCATTCCATTAAGCTGCCGTATTTGGTGAGAGCTTTATAACCACTACGAACCCATTCTTGATAGATATAGAATTTCTCCATGACACAGTCAAGGCCAAAGGTCAACAGATCAAGTTCGATTTCAACTTGACCCTTGTACTCAACATAGGTGCCGAGATTGTTGTTGAAACCCATAATGGTCACAGGTTTTACATTTTCCAAGGATCCATGGTTTACTGAAGTCCCCTGGGAGATGATGATGCACAAACTCAGAAATATAAAGATTGGCGGAATTGCCATATTTTCAGACCGTCATTTTCAAACGCTCCTTGCTTACTGTAAAACTTTTCCGATGCTCTCTTCTGGTGGGCATCTGTTTAGTGTTGAGCTGGCATTCTCGTAAACAGATGCCTAACGTCTAAGATTAAATTGGCTTTGTGTTGATTCCAGCTCTTGCTGAATCAACATAAATGCTCCCATGAAATTGAAAGAAAAAATGCAATAATTGGAAACATTTATGTGAGAATATGTTAGTGTCAATACAATTTGTTATACAGATTTTTCCAAAAGAGGAAGATTTCCATCTTTGCTTTCATTTGTTTTGACTTGGGGTCGGCTGATATCGTATTCTGGATCATTCACTGGATTCTGAGCTCCTCTAAATTGCCTTTTGCGATGATAGCGATATAGCCAGACCAAGGAGAGGAGTATAATGACAAGGCCGATAACTGGGCACACGGCAATGACGGCTATCAAAGTTCCCCCGACGCCTTGCATCTTCTGCTGATCAAGCCTCATTTGTAGTTGATGAAGAGCTGCCTGAATGGAGACGTGGTCTGCTGTGTTTGTTTTCGACTGTAAAGATGCAAATCCAATTTTTGAGGAGCCTCTCTGATGGGGCCTTCCCTGGAGAATGACTGCTGAACTTCTCACAATACAGTCGCTTCGAATGCTAAGAATCCCGCTTCCGCGTATGTCCAGCTCCTGCCGATCCTCTGAGCACACAGCGGTTAGCGAAAGCTCTTGGCTGAGGGCCACCATCCACGAGTTTGGCGCAAGGAGCTGTGTCCAGAGGGAGCTTTTTTCCACTTTGCGAAATTGGCAGGCCCCTGAAGACTGATTCCGTATAGCCGCAAGGCCACAGGGAATGTTTTGAAAGCCACCGTTTCCAAAGGTGACTTGTATGTGCCTGCAGATTAATCTTTCTCTGGCCAGTTCGATGCAGTCTCCCAAGTTTTGGAGTGGGAAAAACCTATCCTGGTGATTATTGATGGCCAGGTACGGTGTTTCGGTGTCCATCACCTCGATTTGGCCATTTTGAACCCGTGGAATAGGTGTCAGGCGGTAGAGACTGAACAGTTCTGCGTCGATCAGGGGCACTTTGATTTCGAAGACCAAATGATTTTTGTCGAGCTGCTGGACACTTACTGAGGCGATACGATAAACGTCGGAGACGGTGGATTGGTTGACGGGCAGTCGGCGGCCTGCCGGAATATGCGGCTGAATCCTGAGGATCTCCGTTTCCAACTGCTGGACAGAAAGGATCAGTGGTGTCAGTTTTCGCTGATTGGCCGATGTTAATGCTTCCAGCAGAGCGAACTGCGACCTTTTAATGTGAGCTGCCAGAGAACTCAGTTGGTCGGTTACGTAATAGATGGACATTGGATTACTCTTATGATTATTCAATAATTCGTCGATCTCAAGTTCAAGCTGATCTAGAAGATTTTTTAAACTGCCCTTAATATTTTTGGTGCTATCAACAACGGAATATTTATCTCTCAACAAGTTGGCTATCTCATCATCATCTAATGGAAGATGTTTAAGCCTGAAATCATGCGGAACCGCCCTCTCAGTCAGACCTTGATAACTCATTGTGTCCCCGAATTCGGTCAGTTGCAAGTAAAGGGAATCAATGCACAACACGTTATCGGTTTCGCAATATGTTTTAAGACTTTGATAACCAGTCTCTAAGAAGGCAGATTCCCGAATGAGCTGCTCCAAATCGAAGCTGGCGTATACAGTCCAGTCCTCCATGGCTATTGCTGCCCGTCCAGTGAATTCTACAAACGTTCCAAGGCTGTTATTGAACGCCTTTAAAGTCATAACTTTTCCATCATCGCCCTGATTTAGCTGAGCCTGCTTGGATGAACCGATCGAGAGAGCGACGAGGAAGAATATCCAAATCAGCGCCGTCATTTTCCAAGTTTTTTGGTGCTTGTTATTCAAAGTCCCTCAGTTAACTGACAAAAATTACTCGGAAAACGGTGGTATGTATTTTTATGACAAAACAAATTGACAATATATTGCAGTTATTGATGATCCGGCATTTTTTGTAGCAGTATTGCTGTTATATACATGTTTACTTTTATATGTACATGACAGCCTTGAATTTTTTTTTAATTTTAATATGTATGTGTATTATATTGAAATGTGCAACGCAGTGCATCCACAATTTCTGAGCCTTTATACATATATCTGTATATTCTTGATCAGCATTAACAACCAAGTAAGCCTAGCCTCTTAGTTTTAATGTTATTTGCATATATGTACATAGTTTTCCAAATTTTTTTTATCCGAACAGACCAGATTGAAACTTTATCCTATGGAAGTCATATAAACTTTGTTGTTATTTAATATATTTTGGGATCAAATTTATCTCTAATTATAAAAAAGGAATATATTTTCATGCCCATTTTAAAGAGTTTAGCTGCTTTCAACCCATAAGAATATTTTTGTGATTGGGGATACTCTTAAGACTTAGTTAAAACCTAAGTGATCTAGGAAAAGTAACAAATATTTTCAATGAAATGATTTTAATAAAATCACACTCATAAAATGTTAAAGGCATACAAGTCTTTTAAAGCTTGTGTCATACAGGCATACTTGGCATATTTACCATCAGCTCACGGCTCAAATATGTGACCAAGCAGTGGCGCTGCTCTTTGCAGACCCGGCGCATGCGCAATGCACGAGGACTGACTGCCCCCCGATGGACCTACGTAAGCAGGCATCCTCGAGGTCCGCAATTCTTATCAATGAGAGTGACGTAGGTTGTGTGCAGACTGCTCGGGAGCAGCGGGAACCGGGCGGCGGAGGGTTGCCCACCGGGACTGGGGCTGCAAACACGGACAACGGCACGAAATCGAAGTCAGAATCGAGGCCAGTCCGTTAAAAACTGTTGCACTGCGGCGCTGGTACGTCAGTTCATTCAGAACAGTCGAAGGGCGCGAACCTCTGAAAAGTGACACGGAGACCAGCAGCAAGGAGTCGACTTCCCAGTCACCCAGTCACATCCGAAGAGCCTCGTTTGGGACACAGCCTGTTAGTGAAGTGCCCCGATCCGTTAACACCGCAGGTGCAACATGCGACACATGTCACTGCAGCAGCGGGGCAATCCCATGATGGCGCTTGCCCTGATCCTGTGCCTCAGCCCACTGCTTCTGGTCGAGATCCAGGCAGTGCCCGCCTCCGTGCTCGCCCAGAACTCGGAGCTTTCCACCAGTGCCAGCAATAAGCTCCAGCTACAGCAGGAGCACCAGCAGCAGCAGCAGCTTCAGGAGCAGCATCAACAGCAACAGCCGGCAGCAGGTGAGTGGCAAAGTTCAGGTGATTCCGTGGGTGGAGCTCAGTTCCCAACCCTCCGCCCACACTCGTCGCAGTTAATGTTAAAGGTCATTGAGAAATTTTGAGTTTTGAAAAATGTTCGCCCTCGGCCCTAGGCGAAATCTGCTTATGTTGCTCCTGCTCGGCGAATGCGTTGGCGTGAGCATAAGCGACCTCTTGCTCCTCCTTTCAACCCACTGGCATCCGCTCGAGTGGCTCCCTTACGACGGAGCTCATCTCATTTAGCATTTTCCATTTCCCATTTCCCGCTCGTTGTTCGCCAGGAAATTGCGTAGGTGTTTTGCGCCAGGACGACAGCTGTCGCTGTCTTGTCTCGCTCGCCCACGCGCCTCCCCGTCCATTTTGCACGTTTTCACAAATTTCCATCTTGAGGTTGTTGTTTTTCACTGGCTTAGTGAATCATTACTATCCGTACACTGCGAAAATATGGCTAAGTTCACCTTAAAATCAGGGAAAACGTTAAAGAGTTTGTTATATATTTTACAATATATCTTTGACCTTAAATTTACTGTGGCATATCTCCGACGACATATCTCCGCCCGGTTCGTTTTTCCCTTTTTTTCTATCGGTGTTATGTCATTTTGAAAACGTCAGTCGCGAAGTTATGTCACTTTAAAAACGACATATCTCTAGACATTAAACGAGCTTATGTATGTCGTTACCCCCTTAGTGCATCAAGTAAATAAAAAAGAATTACATATAATTTAAAAATCAATCAGACAGTTATTATTATTATAATGCTTTTTTAATATTTTTTATAGAGCTAATTTAAAGTTTTTTTTCTATATGTTTCAATAAGACTTTAGTAGATTTTAATAATTGGATCTTTAAGAAAAAATATAATATTCTGGGGTCCAGAAATCACTAGAGATTTTATAACACTTACAACGTCTTTTAGTATGCAATGTCATTTTTGAGGTTTTTTTTCGCGATATACACTTGGTTTTTCTTCAGCACCTTTACATATATTTATGTTATTTTTAACAAAATCTCTGGTCAAATCTTTAGAAATCTCTGTAAAACTTCTGATATGTAAAGTTTATATACTTTTATATAGACTTCTACTTATAAAAGGATTAAGTATTTTGATAATTTCTGTTGCTTCCCTATAGTTTTGAGAGATTTCTATTTAACTCGGGATTAAGCTTTTCAAATTTTCGTTAGTTTTGAGTATCAATGGTTGTTATTGCAAACTAGCTTTTTAAATATATAAAAATATGCTGACTTCTGCATTACAACATAAATAGTTCACATAAACCTTTTTTTCCTCAGTGCACCTACTTTGTCCATACATATGTAACAGGAAGCACACCAACACAGCCACACACACCGAGCTGTAGCGCAGTTAAACATCGCGTAGGCGTTTGCCACACAAAATGGCGGCCAGCCTCCTTTGTGCACACACACACACACACAGACAGCCATGGGTGCGCATTTATGCCAAGTGTTGTGTGTGTGTGTTTGCCCTCCTTGTTGGGAAAGTGTGTGTGTACGTGCGCGCGATTTCATTTCTATTTTTAGAAAGCGAGTTAAGCAAAGGCGAAAGTTTTCAGCCCCTTCTGCGATTTCTGGTTTTTCTGCTTGCCTGGCGCCATTCGCCTAGCATCGCGTCCTTCGCCACATCTTGGCTTGGATGTGGCCCCAGGGTACCCAGCTCCAGCCGCAGCTCCTTATTCAGCCCACCGCAGGATTGAGCCCTTAAGTTTGCATCGGGCCCAAAGCTGTTAGCCCCTTTCCTTTACATTTTTCAGCTTGTTTCCACAATTTTCCACGGCGCCCAAGTGTATGCAACACGTTCGTTAGCGCTAGCCACCCAAAACCGCAGAAACAAAGGCCAAAAAGCGACGGCAGCCAGCAAGCTGCTTGGCTTTCGGTCAAATGTCAATCGCCCAAAGCCAATGACGGCCACATCAAAATGTCAAGCACAGGTCCCACGAAAAAAAAATAAAAACGATTGTAATAAATTGAATTTGGGTGGACAATTTGTCTGGCAAGCTACGAGTTTAATCCAATTAAAATCTATATGGACAGCATATGGCACAGAAAGGACTTAACTGGGACTTAATCTTCTTTTTAAAGTAACACCTGGTGACCTAAAAATTTGAGGAAATTCGAGATGAAGTATACATTACATTATATTAAAAAGCCACATATAATGTATACGTTTTATATAATATAATCTGACGAGGAAGAGCTTCCTCCCTTCTGAAAATTCTGAGGAGAGGCACTACCTAGATCATATTTTTAATCAAAGCTTATTTATGGCAACTTTCCAAGTGTTTTCGTGTTACATTTATAGTATGTGTTAACATTTCCCAAATACACTTCAAGGTAATTCTTTCTTAAACTTTAAATAGATTGTTTTTCCCTCACCAGGGCTCGCCTTAAATAGATTTATCAAGTCCCCTAAGAAGTGCGGCCTCACTGCGTGTTTATTAAATTACATATGGCAGCTTAATGAGAACGTCAAACAGCTCAACCCAGACTTTAATCGGCCAGCTGTTGGGCCTCTTGACGCTCTTTAAAATGCAAAGCGAAATAGGGTCCACCCCTTGCGTTTGCGTTTAATTTACGCACCAGCAGCGGCGGCAGTCGAGTGTGCACATTAAATATTTATAAAAGCAATGGCTGCGCTGCCCCCTCCTGTCACTCGGCGAGGGACTATGAAATATTCAGAGAAAGGACCTGGGCCAGATCCCGATCCTGATCCCACCACCGCAACCGCAGGCTCCCATTAAACTCTCGGTCCCAATCGCATTCCCCCCTCTATATTTTTTGATGGCACAAATTTTTCCATATGCCACTGTTATTGAGTTATTTCTGGGGAAAAGGAGAGGAGCAGAAGAAGCCCAAGGCTGCCAACGCACTTAGCCATGGCGTTAATTGTGTTCATGCGGCGACTTTCACAACAGCTGCTTGCCCAGGATCAGGGCCAGCTCCGGCCAACACCCAGCCACCCCACCACCTCCTGTCACCCTAATCTCTGCGCATGTATGCGTGTGGAGAGCAAACAACTTGTTGATACTTTTACAGTTCAGCGAACACCGAGAGTGTGGTGGCTCAGAGAAAGGCACAAACAAAAAAGCAACCAGGCCAACGTCAGACAAACGTCAGAGCATGGAATTTTCTTGCCTGTTTTTTGTGTTTACTGCCATTTATGCGCTCACGCCCAGACCCCTTTTAATGGACATCAGAGAGCAGGACATAAATCCATATTTAACAGTAGGAAAAAAACAAGTTGAAGCGAAACACGAGAATTGCTGGTATTAAATGACTTTGGATTCTCGGAATCATTTAGCCAGAGGACTTCAGGAATTGTTGGCTGACTGGCTGGTTGGCTGGCTCCCAAGGACTCTGGGGCATTGTAAACTGGGTTACGTGTAATCCATAAACTGTGTTCCCTTAAAGTATGTACATTTGTTGCCCAACTAAGCTAGAATTTCATAGAGCTGAGTCACATTTTCTTAGAAAGAACCTACAGATGAATGGGTCTCAGAAGTGACACCGTTTTTAGCCATGACTACGTTAAATTATTTGTAAATAAAGGATTTCCAAAGGATAACTTATAAACAGCTAAAACCCCGAATATTTA